AAACATAAGTAAAAATAAGTTTGATATTTTTGAATATACTAAGTATATTATAAGATTTAGAACAAGAGAAAAATATCAATTGGTTTTTGAGATCCTTGGAAAATAAATTAATCTAATCATATTTAAATATGAACACACAATTAGCTTAGCCTAGCCACTGACGTGCCTAGACATAATTAATATTCAATTGTAGATTTTATTTGGTATACGTCAGTTCGAGAGGACCTCTATGAGAAATCCTACGAATCAATTATCACATATTAATAATGTCGAATTAATTAATATTATATTTTATAGCAGTTTGCTGCCTTTATGTTCCCTCTTTCGTTTGTTCTAATCATCTTTCTTCTTTTTCTTTTTGGCTTCATTTTTTTTCTCTTCTTCCTCTTTTTCGTATGCTTCGATGCGCTTCTCCAGCGCATCCACGTCCAGCCACATGAGCGAGGCGACATGCCAGCTGGGTGGCGGATCGCTGTTGATTGCCTCCATTAGCCGCTTTAATCGAATTCGATCCTCCTCGACGGCCATTTTGCGCCTCCTTTCCATGTCGGCATCCAGGGTATCCAACACCGATGTGCATTGGACACGCTTCTGTCTAATCTTCTGGGTCTGAGATGCTTTGTTCTTGAATCCCGGCTTGGTCATCTCGTCGGCAGGCGCAGCCTCGGCCAGTTCCGGCAATTTCTCCTGCAAATCACTGCGCTTGGTCTTGGACTTCACGGAAGTGCTCACAAAATCGAAACTTTCTAGGTGCATCGGCTCAGTCTGCGTGGAAACTGTCATAGTCCTAAGTGCCACCGGGTTGGCACTAACTTTCGTGCGCGAAAGGTATGTTATAGTTGCGTTCTTATGGGCTTTACGTTTTGGGCGTTCCATTTTAATTTTCGCTGTAAAAAGTTTTTGAAAATTCGTATGCCTTCAGTAAATGAACTTTATATTTTATTTTAATAAAATTTACCAAAATTGTAGAAAATATTTTATTTTATTTTTTTAATTTTTTGATAGTAGCTCTCAGAGTTGTGAACTAGAACTGACCCCAAATAAATTTTATTCTTCGTCTCTTCATAAAAATGTTGAACAAATTTTCAAGGCTAACTTGATGCAAAAAGTTTTTTGTAATACAGGATTTTAAAATGTTTTGATAGCTCTGACATTTGTATTAAATACATATAAAAATACTCTTATACAGTCTTCCGTATGTCATATCGCCCATTTCAGCTTTATGTACATAATATTAAAATATTTCTATAAATTTCTTATTGTATTATTAAAAATCATCTCATTAGAATTATTTTAAATTTCATTATTTTTACTCCTGTTCAAACTTTGTAATGAAAGGCAACCAAATATAATCAAGCCAAACATGGCAATAATTTACATTCAATTAAGTGCATGTTCCGTTATTTACAAGCTGCCTGCATACAAGAGGCCTTGTAAATATATAGTATATATAAATAAGTATTTTTATACACATATATATATTTGTAAAGCTTTGCGACATTTTGTTTGGCTCTTGGTTTTCAGTGAAGTTTGTTGTGCTCCGCTGGCCTGTCCCAGTCCCTGTTCCTGTTCAAGTCCCGCTGCCCGCTGCCGCTGCCGCTCTGCTCTCCGCTGCCCGTTGCCGCTCATGTTGCCTGCTATGTACAACATCAAGTTTTATCGCTGATCGTGATCATGTAATTCCAGCCCACGCATGCGCGCACAGCGTTAAGGAATCAAGTTTAGCGCATTCTTATTGCCGATCTGAATGCGCGCCTTTCCCTGTGACAGATGGTGTAAGGCTGCAAGGCATTCCCGTGCCCAGACCCAGGCACAAGCTCGGGCCCAAGCCCATGCCCATGCCCAGGCCCAGACGCAGCATCAGGCTCAAAGTCGAAGACGGCGAACGGAGATCGAGCCGAGAGTCGAAGACTTTGGCGAACGACTGGTTTTTGTTTTTGTTGCTTTGCTAGCCGAACGTTCTATATATGTATGTAAACTGGTACTTGAAATTTGAAATCATGTACCATTTGCCTTGAGTTGCCAGCGCCTGGATGTGGATCTGATCGTCGATCGTGTCCCTGACAGAGCGGCACAGGAAACGCGCATTTAAAAGCGCGACTATCGAAATATAACGACATTAAGCTGCCTCGAAGTAAGATAGAGGGAGATAGAGTTTGTCAAAGAGGGACAAGAGAGAGAGAGAGAGAGAGAGGGATAGTGTGGGAGAGAGAGAGAGAGAGAACAAGAGAGGAAACAGAAGAGTCATTTAAAGGAAGCTTGTGTCAATACGAAATACGAATATACGAAAGCCCCATGGAGTTTGCCTTGGAATGCAGTCGATCGCTGCGATCATTGCGATCTCTGCGATCGCTAATCTTTTGAAGGCGCCGACGCCGCACAGATCATCATAAGCGAACGTTTGAGCGCACTAAGCGACATAATTGCTACCGTGGGATGAGACAGAGACAGGGACAGACACAGAGACAGAGACAGAGGCAGAGACAGAGACGTATCCAGAGCCGGTGGACGCAGAGTCTTCAACATCTTCGGCCAACTCAGCTCAGCTCAGGTCCAGTCCTCGATCATTACCAGGCGCGCTCCTAATGCGCTCCAATCAAACACACACGAAACGAGCGTATGACATGTTTGTGCATTATTAATCATGATAATATCTGTATAAATGGTAGAAAAACTGTGCATTTGCCCCGCTGCCCACTAAAGCTCGCTGGCCAAATTGCAATTTAATGCAAAAATAAATTGCACCGCCGACCGCAAACGTGAAGCTCTCGAACTGAAGCCGGATCTGACCAACCGGCAGCCGGAGCAGGCAGCTCCCATGATTATTGGTCATTTACTTGCGCCGTTTAGCGCATTAAAATTCATGCAGCATCCGAGCATCTCCCAGTCTCCGACTCTGACTCTGACTCTGGCGAGTCCCACAGTTCAACTTTTATGCATACAGAAATAATTGACAGTTGAAATCTTGGACGTGTAAGTGTAGACCCAATCCCAACTTTGCGTCTGGCTCTTGCACAATTCTGGGCGTTCGAATTGCAGCTGTGATTCTCTCTGCATCTCTGTGACTGCATCTGTGTCTGTGTCTGTGTCTGTGTCTGTCCTTCGGCTTATCCCTGCAACTGCAACTGCATCTGCATCTGCATCGGCACTCACAGCTGTGGGGCGTGTGCTTTGCTAGCTGCAGCTGCAGCTGCAGTGGGGGGCAGCTGGCATGCAGCACACACATTCGTTGGGGGTAGCGCCTACGGCCCCATGAAATCAACGCGTTCGCTAATGGGCAACAGCTAGCAGGTTATTACACTGAGAGAAATTGTTGCTGCTGATCTTAAAAGTGAATCGAAATTGCAAATGAATGTTTTGAAAGAGGGTTGACTATTTATTAAGCTATATCAAATATTGACATAATGCCTAATTGTATATTGCAGAGATAAGAATACTATCGATAATAACTTCAGTGGTGGTTCGCCGATTTCTAGTGAAATGTTTTTATAGCTTCTTCATATTATACTGAGAAATTCAAGTGGCTCAGTTTGTGGAAAAATAACTGTAAGGGTGTTAAGGGTGTAAAATTTTTGCAAATTTTGAGTGCTACAATTATTTGTTATATATTTTACTTCTATTACTATTGCTACTAATATTATTCCTTCTATTATCACTTATGGTTCAAGGATAAATTAATGTAATGATAAGCTCAGATATATATTATATAATATATTATAATATAATATAATATAAACCCCGAGATAAGCCTTGAAATGAATTATACAAATGTATTCAATTAAACATGTTTTTTTTTCCCTATTTTAAACAGACAATCAATCAAGCATTTCCATTTAATTAACTTGTTTTCAGTTCAAACTGAAAGCGAATGAATTGACTCGAAGCGAATATTTATTCCTATTCTACATTAATCCCAAATCAAGTCCCTGGCTACGAGCGACGCATCGTCAAGTGCAAGCAACGACTTTAACTATCGCTCAAGGCTATCAGCGATTTGTTCAGATCTCTCGAGCAAGTTCTCGAAACAAGCCCCGTGCCTGAATTTGGGCATACAAATAAAATGATATACTACATAATTGCTACACAAAATATATACAAGTTAATTCAGTAAGACGCAGGAGAAAGATGACAATCGGAAAGAAATGAGAAAAGTGAAACTCATAAACAAATGCAGCAACAAAATTGCCAAAGCTAAGTAAATAATCAAACAAGAAATGGCAAATTATGTGCACAGCAACAACAACACAACAGCAACAACAACAGCAGCAATAACAGCAATCGCAGCGATTACTTCTAAAGCAATTGCGAAAGAACACCCACTCAAAAATAAGCGTTTGCCATATTAACAACAACTGCGAGCGCCAATAACCGGTTAGCATTTGCTGCATGTGTATATGTGATCGCGCTCTCTGCAGCGAGCGTGTGTGTGTGTGTGTGTGAGTGCTCAAGAGATGGCAGCGCCTAAACGTGTTTCGTTTGCAGCAGCTACCAACACCTGGCTGCATTGCACTCACGCTTTGCTCTCACTCACAGCGCTCTCTCTGCTGTGTGAGCGCGCTCTCACTCTCTCGCTCTCTCCCACTCGCTCTCTCTTACTTTTGCGATCGTTTGTCTGTTGCGCTCACTCAGTGAAGTGTGCTGGGCGCGTGTGTGTGTGTGCGTGCGTGGCGAGCATGTGTATTGGTGAGAGACGCGTTTCTTGATCAGACGAAACGGCAAACGGCAACAAGTGAGCGCAGGTCCAGGTCCGCGCGCCGCTCGCAGAGCAATGGACTTTTAGTTATTCCGTGATCTTTTACCAATATTGTGCAGCGCACACGGCACAACGGCTGATCGCAGAGCAACAACAGCAGCAGCAGCAGCAAATCCGCCCCTGGTTTCAATCGAAAACAAATGAAACGCACATCGATAAACGCATATCAATTTATTAACGGAAGTGTGAAAGCGGAAATTGATTAAGTTGATTAAAAAAGAAAAAAAAAAAAAAACAGAATAAGAAAATAAATAAAACTAAACTCTAACTGTGCTTGAACTCTCCTATCGCCAAAAGTTCTCTGTGACAATAACGCCCACATTATCAAAACTTTTGTTGTTCTCTGCTGTGGGCCAAGCTTGAAAGCTTTTGCAGCGCGTGTGAGACGTCATTTGATCCACTCGCTGGACGTGTGCCTGCTGCTTCCACCCCAACCCCCATTCGTGCTCATCTCGCTATTGTGGTTGTTGTGGTTGGTTGTTTGTTGTTGTTGTTGTCAGCAGTGTTTTCAGTGTATTTTTGTGTTTGTTGTTTTTATTTTGGCATGTTTGCCGTTTGGAACGTCAAATTCGATTTTTATGACTTTTGAAAGCGTGACTAAGGCGTGATTTATGATGGCGTGTGGTTTTTAATATTCATGTGCAAAGTCAAAAGCCACGAACCAAGCGCAGCAGCAACCACTAGCCCAGCCAGCCAAACAGCCACACTCAACCTGCGTAGGTGCGCCAAACAATAAAAAAAAAAACATACAACAACAGCAACAACAAAACAGAAAAGCTAAACTCAAAGCCCGCACCAATAACCGGACAACAACAACAACAACAGCAGCAGGCGTTGCATCGCTGGTGCCCACGGGCCAAGTTGCTGGCTCGATATCCTGCTGTGTGTGCGTGGATCAGTGGATCAGTGTTTTGGGCTTTTTATGGATGCAGCGAAGCAATTGACTGCCGCTGCTGCAGCTGGCAAGCACGATAACAACAACACCACAGCCACCACCACCAACACAACCAGCAACAACAACAATAACAACAACGACGACACTATGCAAACATTGCAACAACAACAGCAGCAGCAAGGCAATACAACAACAACAGCAGCAGCAGCAGACGCCTGTAATACGTCAGAGCCGCTAGAAACAGCAGCAACAATTGCAGCCAGCAAAAGCAACAACAACAAGCAGCAAACAGCTATGACAACAACAACTGCAAGTGTTGAGCAACAGCTCAAAAAGACAGAAGTTCAATCAACAGCAACAGGCAAGTCAGCAGAAGCAGCAGCATCTAGCACATCAGCAACAGTTGCTGTGGCCAGCAAATCGAGTGCAGCAGCAATGGCCGCTGCAACGGCAACAGCAGCAGCAGCCACCAATGACTTGGCAGCAGCTGCTGCAGTCGTCCTCTCGCTGCAGGGCACCATGGTCAGCAGCCTGCAGCAGGCGGCATTGCTGCCGGCCAATTCAGCAGCAGCAGCAGCACTCAACTTGCAGGCGCTCGAATCCTATTTGGCACTGCAGCGACTCACTGGCAAATCGGATGTGTTTCGATTTAGCAGCAGCAGCAACAGCAACAGCAACAGCAACAGCAACGGCAACAGCAGCAGCAACAGCAGCGGCAATAGTACCGTCAATAGCAGCAACAACAACAGCGACGCCGAGCAGAATGCGACATTGCCCACACTTATTGACATTTCCAGTATTGAGCTAAAGTCTAGCTGCTCCTCCAGCGCTTCAAGCGTCTCAGCAACTGTGACCAGTTCACCCAGCAGCAACAATAACAATAATAACGGCAACAATAGCCACAACAGCAGCAGCAATAGCAGCAACAGTAACAGCAGCAGCAATAATAACAATAGCAGCAACAGCAACAACAGCAGCAGCAGCAGCAGCAGCAACAACAACAACAATTGTTCTTCAAGCACATCCAAGTGCATTCCGCCGTTGCCCTCAATTAGCACCGTGAGCGCCGCTGTGGCCGCTGCTGCTGCCGCTGCGGCTGCTGCAGCCAATCAGCAGGCGGCGCTGGATTGTGCCACAGCCGCCGAGCTGGCAGCCGAATGCGATCTGCCGCTGCTCGACGGCGAGGATGCGTTGTCCTTTGAGGCTGGCGATCTGGACAGCAGCTACGGCAGCTTCATCTTCAATCCCAGCAGCTTTGGAGCCGCCGATGCGGACACTTCGCTGCACTCGCTGCAGGCCACCATGTATCAGGACAAGCTGAGCGTCATGGCGGCCAGCGCCGGCAGCGGTGCAGAGGATGGGGCCAACAGTTCCACGGCTGCCGCGGCTGCTGCCCAGCGCTCGAAGAAGCAATTCATCTGCAAGTTCTGCAATCGCCAATTCACGAAGTCCTACAATCTGCTCATCCACGAACGCACCCACACGGACGAACGTCCCTACTCCTGTGACATATGCGGCAAGGCCTTCAGGCGTCAGGATCATCTGAGGGATCATAGGTAAGATAAGAAGAAACAAAGATTATTGACTTGTATAAGGGAATCGGAATTAGGTAGAAAAGCAAATCAGGTTTTACTGAAGTTTCAGCTCAACGAAAGCGTTTGATGACTCAACGAACTCATTTCACAACTCAACGAATATTTTTCGTAATTCAAGAACTGTATTCAATAATTTAACGAACGCAGTTCACAGCTTAACGAAATTGCTTCACAGCTCATCGAATGTAATCAATTTACAACTTAACGAAAGCATTTTATTATTTAACGAAAGGATTTTACAATAATCAATCACATTTTATGAGACTGTATAGCTGTATTTGACAAAACATAACGAACTTTATTCTTCAGTTAAAATGTAATAAAAATGAACACAGGATTAAATGATTTATTTATGATATTTCCATGTCTTAATGTCTTCATCACCTTTTCGTCTGTCTCCTTCCGCCATCAGGTACATTCACTCCAAGGAAAAGCCGTTCAAGTGCGCCGAGTGTGGCAAAGGCTTTTGCCAGTCGCGCACCCTGGCCGTGCACAAGATTCTGCATATGGAGGAGTCGCCGCACAAGTGTCCCGTGTGCAATCGCTCCTTCAATCAGCGCTCGAATCTGAAGACCCATCTACTCACCCACACGGACATCAAGCCCTACAATTGCGCCTCCTGCGGCAAGGTGTTTCGGCGCAACTGTGATCTGCGGCGCCACAGTCTGACGCACAATCTGTCCGCCACGGGCGGCATGGCCGGTGGCCTGGGCGATCTATTCGGCGGCAGCAGCAACGGCTCCAGCTCCGATCTGGGTCTATCGATGGTCCTGCCGAGCTCCACTGGCGCCGGATCAGCTGGCTCAGCCACAAGCCGAGACTTGGTGGCCGTCAGCGATTAGGCCCCTGGCAAATCCGATTTACTCAACGTATCACGTGTTGTGACCTCCCAGTCTCTCAAGCAGGGGAGGCGCTATCTCAATCTCATCTGCAGCTCTCAATAACTCGAATCCCTCCACAATGTGTCTGATCTGTGTTGCTCGTCTCGTGGCCTCCAAGTTGCTTACAGCTAACAGCATTTAATTTAGTTCGTAGTTCTCTTTGTGTCTAGACTATATGATTTAAGCTAATGATATTTCCTAGTTGGTAATTTATTGGATATATGAAACATAGAAATATATATCGAAAGTTTGACTTTATTTGGATATAATAAAATATATATATAGATGTATGCGTAAATTGTGGACTCTTATCGTATTATCGAATAAATGATATAGCCTAATGGAAGTACTTAAATGAAAAGACTTTTATTATTGAAATTTTGGGTGTAGGTGAGAAAGGTTGCTTATGGAGGTAGCGCTAGCAATATTAAATGCAGATTTTACAGTTTTCTGACGTTCGAATTCCAGAATTTTTACATAATTATATATATAAAATTTCACCAATTCATGAAATATTGCTGGTAACTTTATTTTAATGATTATTAAATGGCGATTCCTAAATTTTTATTGGCAAACTCTCAGAATAGATTATTCAATATAAATAAATAAATTCCAATAAATAAAAGTTCTATCCCACAGCTCGAAGAAAGTACTTTGGCAGAAGGGGTTTACTTCCCAGAAGTGAGCCAGATCTTGGGAAAACGAAATGAGTTAACAAAACGGTGCTCAGGACCTTCATTTAGCTGAGTCTACAATGGTATTTCCAGCGTATTCTCGAGTGTTCAGAGTGCTTCCTGTTGCGCTCCTTTCGTCTGGCGATCTGACCTCGTTCGCATGCCCCCCCACCCAGCCGTGCTGTGATCGCAGTTCTAGTTTCTCACACGTAGTTAACACTGTTTGCACACTTGTAGCAAAACGAAAAAGAGAAATCAAATATTTGTAGCGATGTTTATCGCTCGAGTGCCAACACGGGCAATTAATGTACCATTAAGGCGTACACTCCACGGCCGAACAAGCCTTTGACAACCGAAACGACAACAGACGGGCCCTGAGACAATGCGACTACTCGACTATTTTCCCATCGGTTGCCTTATCGCCTAGCCAAACAATGTCGGACAAGCCAATGACATGGAATTGTGGAGCAGGCGCTATTACTGCGACGCCCACCCACCCACATGAGTGAGAGGAGAGCCCCGGAGCAATGGGGCCCCGGGGCTGGGCCAGCTGGCAGCTGTCTTCTCTTGCGCCACAAAGCTAACAAGTTTTTATGATCGACAAAGATGCGTTCAACTTGGGCCAAGTTCAAAAGCCTAAAGCCGCCCGAGTCGACAACTGTCCATCTCGCTCGCTCAGTCTGGGCCATATTGTTGTCTCTAGCGTTAAACGGATCAATGTGAAGCCGCCAACAAACGACGTAGTTATGCATTTCCTGCACAAACCAATTACAACGATCAAACAACAATTATGGTGCCACAGCTCTTGACCAGCTCCAGACCCCGCCGTCCCACGCCCCTCTCCATTGCCATTGCCTTTACCTGTTGCTGTTGCTGTTGCTGTTGCTGTGACTGTGGCAACAGTTAAACACGCGCCTCGCTCTCTGCAAATATTTGCGCGGATATTGTTCTATTCAATGGAACAAGCACGAGAACGAGACATGTTCCAGCACCAGCGACAACGTTTTGGGCCATTAGCCAAAGAGCCAAGCCGAGCCGAGCCGAGCTCCAGCTGGCCGAGACTGCGGACTGGATGGAGTCTCTTCAGACTCGGTTACAGTTTGAAGCAGCGTCTCTGCGAATTGCCGGCAATTTCACACTTTATGCGCGACGGCTTCATTTCCAGCTCCAGCTCCAGCTTCAGCCCACAGCTTCAGCTCTGCGAGGCAAGCAGGAGGAGCAACAGGAGGCGCGTGCGGGCGAGCGGATGTTTAAACATTTAACGCTCGGCCTGTACCGCGGTCCGCAGACCGTTGCCGGACCGTCTCTTCTCCATGCATACATACATACACATATTGATGGGAAAATTATGAAATTCATTGTTTGTGTTTGACTAATAATTATGACAGCAAACGCATTGTCGTCATAAAGCCTCCGCTCGCTCCGTCCGTCACTGGAAGTGAGCGCACTAAATTTGCTTTGAGGTTTCCGCAACGCCCCATTGACAATGTCAGAGCTGGACGTACGGACGCCATACGCCACGTATTCGTGCACTGGCCAAACTCTAATAAGCCCATCACTAAACAGCAGTTCGATTTGCAACAACAACAACAAGAACAGCAACAACTATAACCACAACAACAATGTTGTGTCTAGTGCTTGAGGCGTGGCAAGTTGGCTTGGCTTTGGCTTTGGTTTTGGTTTGGTTTGGTTTTTGGTTTCTTTGAAGTTGAAGTTGAAAATATTTTCGTTGTGCTTGTGAAATTTTGTTGCGTTTCCCGGAACCAACGCAAAAAAGCGGAACGTTCTTCGGTTGTTGTTGCTGTTGTTGGTGTTGTTGTTGTATTTGGGTGAATGTGAATGTAAATGTCATGCTCGTCTGGTCTGCTCTGCCTTGGTGTGTTCTGTTCGTCCAGTAGTTTGTCGGCACCATTTGCTTTATGATTTGATGTATGTGTGTCTGTTTCTGTGTCTCTGTCTAGAGGAGGCCCCACCAACCCGTCAAGAACTGACGGCACCTCAATAGGGAACGAATCCCCATGTTTGCACAGCGCTGATGTACGTTTCTCCATCACCATCTCCTCCTACTTCCCTTTCTTCTTCTCCTGACCAAGTCCAGCCCAAAAGATCGCCGCTGGCGTTCCCATTTTTCGCCCAAAGACTTTTGACTTCAAGTCCGTCTGACTGACGTCGCTGCGCCAACGTTTGACGCAACGTAAACGTAAATTATGCGGCGTTCTTGTGCCTAATTAGGTGTCGTATTGTAAACGTTTTTATATATTGGAGGCACACACACCAAGCCGAGCCAGCCGGTTGAGCTAGCATCTCCTTCAAGCCAAAGAGCTGGAGGTCTACGTCTTAGACATGGCGTATTATATTTAACAAGGAGTCGGTTGGTTAGAAATGAGTTTGGTTTGATGATTGAAGAGAAATTCAAGCGAATGATGATAGAGATTATTAAGGGAACATTTCTCTGGATGAGATTAAATTAGGATATATGTATGAATACATACATATGTATATACATAGCTTGATATATCTAGCAGCTCATAAATATCTTAGCTTAGTATCTTAGCTTTTAGTTAAGAACTTCATCATATACTTAAATATATACTAATGTAGATGAAGAAAAAGAATATTTCTTCAGTTCTTGCTGCGCTTTTCGTTGTCTTCTTTCGTTAGTTCATCAGTCAATTACAATTCTCAAAGTCAATTTCTAATGTTAGATTATTTATATTTTAGCTATTAAATTTAATAATAATTTCCATGTCTGCCTTTGGTTTAAATAAATTTCTAATACTCGTACACAAATTCTTGCATGAAGTGCCTCAGAGGCACTCTGTATTTATTTTGCAGCTTGTACCTTTAACCTCATTTACATGTATTATTACAACTCTCTTAAGTCTGTCGTCGTCGTCTTCTTCTTCTAGTTCTTCTAGCATACCAAACGACACTTCTTCTGAAGACTCCCAGCAAATTGCCGACGCCAAACGACCATAAAGAATAGTTGAAGCACAATTTCTGGAACTGGCAGCCAACTAGTTGGGGTCTCTGTTAACCAACTCCAGCTCCAGGTCCAACTCGAACTCCAGCTCCAACAGCAACTCTACCGTTCGGAGAAGAAAAGCTGCCGAAACTCGTGCAAGTGAATAGATAGGCAATGCTCACGCAGCGCTCCAAGAGGTAATTAGATTTTATTGGACGGTGCGCGTTATGCCGACGGCCTGCCTGGCAAGGGGGGTAGCTGTCAAGGCCCCGCGGGTGTGTCACAGTCTCGAGAATGCTTAGAGTTGACAAATACACATATGTATATATACATATAGAATATATATGTATATGTATATGCATACATTCTAGCTATAACTGTTGAGCCTTGATGCAGCCGACTCGCTCGTTCATTTTTTATGGCACTCGGGGCGCAAATGCAAACAAATGCGACAAATGTGAAGCGAGTAAGTATTTCAAGTTGAGAGCAGTACAATATAATTGACAGGCAATGAGCTCTGCACTTTTTGGATGCCTACTCTCTCGCTCTCCCCTCTCTCTCTCTCTCTCTCTCTCTGTCGCCCCTGTCAGTATTTGCCCAGGGCTTGTTTGACAAGTTCGCGGCACGTAGCACGGAGCAGTCGCCGCAGCGACTTGTGTTCGACACATAATCATCAAACAGACCTAAGCTGAATAGAGCCCAACACTAACCACACTCACACGGCAGATAGTGCAGCGGCTTATCTCTGCCAACAGAGCGCGCGCGAGAGAGAAAGAAGGAGAGCGAGAGTGGGTGAGCGAGTGACTGGGGCATATATCTCTATATATATTTACTGGGTTATATGACTTTTGGGCACTGATAAGGCCCGTTTAGCTAAGAGTTAGAGCCAGCTAGTTGAGGGGACGCGCGGTTAAATGAAAACGAAAATCATTTGAGCAGCAGCAGCTACACCCCAACACAGCCCGCCCACCCCTTGGACAGCCCGTTGGCCTGAACTACCTCGGCGGCAGTCGGCATGATTAGAACCAAAAACAATCAAACAACACACACATCAAAGGCATTTCGCCGTCAATTTGTCATTAACGTCATAATATAGTGACAAGATTGCTTTGCACGGATATCGTCTGTGCCCGGGAACCCCTAGTCTTAGCCCCAATCCCCCTACCCTTCCCCTCCAGCTTTACCTCTTCCTCTCTCTCTCTCCCTCTCTCTCTCTTTGCTAGGCCTCTTTGAGTATTTGTCAACAAATATAGAGTTAAGCGTCTGTCTCTCTGGCCGAGGTGTTGTAATAACCGCCCAGTTGTTGCTATTGTCGCAGTTGTAAATTTCCGTTCACTCGCACTCGCACCCTCTCTCTCCCTCTCTCGGCCTCTTTCATTTGAATCTTGCAATCTTCAAGTGAAAATGTGACATTTAAGAAATATTTTTTTTTTTGCTTTAGGACTGGTCTACAAACTGTGTTCGAATTGTGTGTATTTAAGGATTAACAATGTGTGGGATTTCTTCAGCGTTTTCCATGTGAATCGTCGGCCTGGTTCTTTGGTGCCTCGGCGCTTATTTGGACAAGTGATTAATAGGCCATTAGTGAAATCTTTCTATTTGCATATCAACTAGGCTG